ATGCGGGCAGTATTTGAGGCTAGGTCTTATCTGGGGCTTGGACGGAGTAAGGAGGTTATGTGGAGAATATTACAAATAGCCTAGCTTTTTCCCAGCAACTACCGCGATTGATAAGATGTGTTCCTGTCAGATCAAGTCCTCGATGATCTGGGCTCCGACCAGCCAAAATGAACGTCTCGTTAGTAGTTCTCGGCCATCCAGCGAAACCGGATGAGCGCTAAGAAGCTTCTTGCCAAGTGCTGTGTTTTGGAAACATTAAACCGTACCAGAATGTTGCGTCCCCAAACAGGGATAACTTCCAGGTCTCTCGTCAGAGAGAAAGTCGTTGTTACTTTCTTCACTCCAGCTCTCCGGCTGTGATCGGCTTGACACTATGAAGTCATGCATGTAGAGAGTTGTGGATCAGATTAATAAAAGAGGAAATGAGATCGTTGATATGTAATAGAAACAATGTCGGAGTCAAGACCGATCCTTGGGGAACACCCACATTGTGGGATGAAGACGAGAAACCGTCCAATACGATGCGGCCAAAGAAAAAGTCGGCAACCCAGAGGCAGAGCTTCTTTAGGAGGCTATAGGATGGCAGCATGTCACATCTGACCGAAAGCTTTCGTGATTCCAAAAGAATGAGCCTCACCATATGAATATTTTGCGTAATTTGCATTATTAAGAAGATCATGTCAGTTTTATTGTACAATGATGGAGAGTAACTTTTGAATTACTTTTTCAGAAAATTCTTGGAGTAACAGACATTAAATCTCTCAATACACAGGCCCAAAACAAAGAAAGTGGTGTATGCCTGGGGCCCCACCGTTTTTCCTATGGCACGCTGAACAAGTATCTGTCAATGTCAAAATTTGGGCGACGATGGACAAATTTCAGATAAATTACATAAAAGCGATCCGCAAGTAAACAAAAAAAATAAAAAGGGGTGTGTGTTGGGGGTCCCACTATATTTTTGCCATTCATTTTTTCTTTTCATGAATCTGTAGTCAAAATTGCGGAGATGGACAAATATGGAAGTAATTTAGATATAAATAATCAAAATGGTGGTGCAAAATGTGTGTTCTTAATGCCTGAATTACTCGCTTATATGTCCACCGATCCCCAATTTTAAATTCAGATTTGTGTTCACCGTGAAAAAGTAAATGCGAAAAACGTAATGGCCCCCCAGGCACATACTACTTTTTTCTTTTGTATGCCTGTGTAGTTGATATATGTTTGCTTGTTTGGGAAGCAGAACCAAATAGGACAAAATGTTCTCGAGTTCCTACAATTCATATATTGTCAAAAATGCACAGACTACAGCTTGTATACTGTGATATGGCAGCGCACAGACATACGTTCCCGCCTAGTGCAAGAGCTGATTTTGTGGCCTAGTAGGTGCTGCAATTTTGATGAAAGACCTATACGGCTGGTGGAGCTGCTGGTCCTAATACGCTACATATACAAAGGGTACTATAAAAGTTTTGCAATATGACTTAAAAAAAACGGACGTAGGAGGCTGCATGTTACAGCAAGTCTGTGGATCTAGTTGTTCATTCCTATTGTCAGTGTCAAGTACGGACTATGGCATCGTGGTCACGTAGTGCGATAAGGGCACTTTAATGGTATAACTTTACGTGTGGTTTAAGCATAGACCAGTTCTTAGAATAGATGATGCTTACTTTAAAGAATGATTGTCCTCATCGTACGACTATATTCAGGTGGTACACAAAATTTCAAAGGGACACTTTCAGTCTGGAGGACGCTGAGAGGGAAGCCGCGAACATCAGTAACTAAGGAAAACATTACCGATGTGAGGAAAATGCTTGACAAAGACCGGAGAGTGACATACCAACAGATAGAGGAGACCTTACACCTTCATGCACCAGCACTTTATTCAATTCTGCATGACCATTTACACGTAAGGTAACTTTGTCCTCTCTGGGTACCACATCGTCTGACGGATGAGCAGAAGACTCGTCTTACGACTTGGTGCCGAAAGATGCTGAAAATGTTTGATGAGGGGCAATCTAGGTATGTGGACAGCATCGTGACACGTGACGAGTCTTGGATCTATTATTACGATGTGCCGTCTAAGGATCAAAGCAAAGTTTGGATCTTTGATGGTGAGCACACACCCGTAGCTGTTAGAAAATACCGATCTGTTAAGAAAAAAATGATAGCTAAGTGGTACATGGAACAGTGCCTGCCTAAAGTCATAGACTCTATGAAAAACCTGCGGATAAAGTCAATAATGGACACTCGGTACCTCCACCATGACAACGCTCCAGCTCACCTCGCCAAAGCCTGCATCGAGTATTTGACCACTACCGCACTGAAACTTATTGAGCACCCTCCTTACAGTCCAGATCTTGTTCCCTGCAAGTATACACTGTTTCTGCATGTGAAAACATGTGAAAATGATGCTAAAAGGAAAACGGTTTCCTGGGGATGATGACCTCCTGAAGGCTTGGGACAACGAGGGTGACGCAGTCCCGGGTAAAACTTGGCACAGCTGGTTTACGGTTTGGTTTTGGCGGATGGCGAAGTGTAATAAATGTGGTGGAAATTACTTTGAGCGAACTCAATAAATAAAGCGGTATTGCAAAACTTTTATAGTACCGTATGTATGTAACACGGATGGTAGAAGAGTTACATTTCGTGTTATTGCGGGGCTCTGGGATGTAGTAGTAGTAGTGGTGCTGGGGACGCGAAGCCTGGCATCTAGGTCATCTTTGACCCTTTTTATACTAAGTGACATTTAAATCCGAACACCCAGTTTAAATGGTTTTATTTTAATAAAATTTTGTATCAGTACTTAATGAAGGATAATAAGTAAATGCTGCTTTAAAGCCCTTTGACTTTTAATAATGTGTGGATTCACCCTGATGTGCTACGCATTCTCCATCACGCCTAGGCATGCTTCTGATCAGGTGGTCAATGTCTTCATGTGGTATCTCATTCCAGGCAACCACCAACTCCTCTCGAAGTGCTTCTAGAGTCTGAGGAGGACGTTGCAAATTGAGCAATCTCCTACCCATCATATCCCACACGTGCTCAATTGGGGATAAGTCGGGAGATCTTGGTGGCCATGGTAACAATGTGACATCATTATGTTGAAAGAAGTCTATTGTGACTCTTGCAACATGTGGTCGGGCATTATCTTGTTGGAGAGTTGGATCTGCCAGGGTGTCAAGATAGGGTAAAAGATGGGGTTCTAGAACTTCGTGGGTATAACGCTGCGCGTTCATGTTACCTCTGATGAAGATTAAAGGTGACCTGGAACCATAAGCTATAGCACCCCAAACCATAACTCCAACAGTGTGATGAACATGTCTTTCAACAAAAAACTGTGGATTCCTCCTTTCACCACGTAGCCTTCTAACCCTGGCACGACCATCGTGCATGCCTAAACAAAATCGAGACTCGTCACTAAAGACAATACTGTTCCATTCCTGATCCCAGAGTGACCGTTGTCTGCACCACTCAAGGCGATTACGTCGGTGTTCTCGAGTTAAAGGGAGGACCCAGTGTGGACGGTATGAAAACAAGCCAAAACTTCTCATTCGTCGGTAAACACTTCGCATGGCAATAGGTCTTCCGTGTTCTGCAAACCATTCATTTGAAATGGACTTGGTAGTGGAGAAACGGTCCCTTAAGGCCAATAATCTTAGGCGGCGAACTTCACGGTCTGTTGTTCTACGGCGGCGTCCAGTGCCCCTTGCTCTTTGCGTACGGCCTTCTCGAAACCATGCCTGACAACACCTAACCACAGTGTCTACACTTCTTTGCACTCTAACTGCAATTGCCCGAAAAGAAAGTCCAGCTTCCCGAAGTCCCACTATACGGCCCCTATCAAACTCACTAAGTTGACGAAATCGTACAGGTCTCCGTACTCTAGGCATCGTAACCGATCGTAAAGGATGTCAAGAACCAAAATCCGCCAACGTTGATTCTTTACTGCGGCTGAAATATTCATTTTTAGAGCGTTAGTGAATTAAAAAAAAGCAGTATAAAAACCGGAATGTCCAACTGATAAGGCTGAAAATTTTTTCACTTGTTATTTACAGTAAGATAAATACATTCACAAACTTTTATTAAAATAAAACCATTTAAACTGGGTGTTCGGATTTATATGTAACTTAGTATATATATAATAAAACAGCTCCAGCGATGAGACGCACCTATTAATATTGCACCATATACTTGATACAGATAACACAACATCCATGGCAAGGAATTAACGTCCGAGGTGGGGATTCGAACCCGCGAGCCCCGGGCACATACTATACCTGTATGTAAACCATATTAGTGTCTAACATTTTTTAATCCCGCAATGGTGATCCTAAATAATACCTCACTTTTACATATCAGTCGCCTGAATGCACCTAGTTTTCTATCATGCATTCATTCAAAATTGGCATAGATAAATATGTGTGGTTTAATTTATTAAAAACGATTCAAAAATTACCATTTACAGGTGGCCTATAATTTATGTGGCCTTGTAACTTTAAACGAAAAAAAAAACTTTGTTAAGTACCTCCATACAATGTGTTTATATTTGAGCTTATTTTTATATCACGTGATTTTTTTTGCTTAACTATAGGAATGTTATTAAAAAGTAGTTCAAACATAATATGTGGTTTTATTCAGCGGTTAGACAATCATGGAATCCTATTAGGATTATCTTGTTTGTTTTATGTCTTGATAGAAATACTACATTTACTAACGTTTGCAGCAAATGATAATTTATAACAAAAATACATGTAAATACAATTATTTAGCATGTGGCACCTGAAACTTATCCTGTGGTTTTCATGTTTTTCTGGCCAAATGAAATCAAATATGTAGAAATCACTCTTTACTGACGATGATCAAAATCATTTTGAACTGTACTTTGAAAAAGGCCACCGTGGTGACCGAGAGGTAAGAGTATCTTTTTGATATATCTATGTGATTTGATTTGGCCAGAAAAACATGGAATTCTATCATCATTTATCGTGTTATGTTTCCAGTTTTCCACTAGAATTACATATGGTTTTCTACAAAAGCAGTTATAACGACTTTCTACATGCGGCCAACCATTCTGATGGCTTGACAGTTTTATCATATTTATTTGAGGTAATTGAGATACAGTATATTAAGTATATGTGATTTCTAGCAACTTTTTGCGGTGTCTTAGATATGCTGACCATACATATACGTGTTAAGTATTTCAAATGTATGACTGTTAGGCATATGTTTTAACTCATTGCAGCTCAAAAAGTATTTAAATAACGCTTACAAAAATGATGACAAAAAAATTCCAATATATTATTCTTTAGTTAAGTTTCTTATAAAATCACATTTTGCACTTCTATTTAACTTGTACATACAAATATGATCAAGAAACATAAAAATATGGTATAGACATTCCACTTGAAAATGCGTTCATGTATAATCGAAATATCTTTTCAGGCAGTGGAATCAGAAAACCATAGGTATGATAAGTTCGAGGAAGAGCTAGTAAAAGTGCAGAACTTGGGAGCTACTGCGGAAGTTCATGACTTCGTTCCAGTACAGCAATTCATTATAGATGACAAAGACGCTTATTTTACTTATCTTGGGTCTTTGACAACTCCTCCTTGTTCTGAAGTAGTCATTTGGATCGAATTCAGACAGACTGTGCCACTGTCACATGATCAGGTAATTAATTACATATGGTATTTACCGCAATACTTGAAACAGCAGCATATCAGAACTACTTTGACCATTAGCAGCGCTGGCGTAGGTTGCTCCGGAAGTGCTTCATATTAAAAGTCCGACAGCCTCATCCATTTGGAGCTAATCATAAATGGAGCGTAAAATACACAAAATATACAGGGTGACTTCGAAGTTGAGTCATTTATTTTAACAGTGAGTAGATCTGATCAAAAGAAATGCTTTTTTCATTTAACATTTTTCTGGTAAAATTAAATTAACAAAGTTATAGCCCTTTGGAAGTTTGAGTACCGCCCTGTCTCAATAATAATATTATGTGCTCGTGTTTGGCAACAACGGATATAATCCGCCTTATCGGTTCATCGCATCGGAAACAAAAAAGCGAAAGAATTTGAAACGCTTATCACGATATTTTTACTACAATTTTATTCAGTTGTATTCAGTCATTGTGTCAGTCGGTAACGCGTGAGTGAATAGTGGTGTTTGTTGCGTGGCTCAAACGAAATAAAAAATGGCACATGTTTACGAAAGTGCTGAACTTGTGGACATGATTCTTATTTACGGGGGGGAATCTTTACAAAATGCTGCCGCGGCATCACTTATTTATGCGAATCGGTTTCCCAATCGAGTGCAACCAACCCCTCGTGCCTTTGTTAATGTAGTACAAAGGGCTCGTGAATCAGGTGACTTAAGACCTCACAGGGGAGGGCATGCCGGTGCTCCAAGACCGCACGATCAAATAAAGGTCCGCGCTGAAATACTTGTCGGGAGGATACTTTATAAAACAAGGTAACATATTTTTCTAATTTTTATTTTATTTTTACACACATATTTTGGTTTATCTTCATTCTACAATCATTATCTGAAAATTAATGACTCAACTTCAAAGTCACCGTGTATAACGCAGTACAAATAATATTTCAGCATTGCTGGATGAGAGTGTTCGTTCCAGAACAAAATGTGCGCGTATCGGTCTTACAATTTTGGCGTGCAAAACTATATATACTTTTCTCCTTCTAGCCTAATGAAATTCGTTGGTTATATCTAGAATAGGCGTTCAAGTGATTGTTTATGTACTGAGGGATACTGATTACCTGGTGGAGGTGCAAGTACGTCAACGTGATATCTAACGTACATATAATATTTTATACACCCGCGCAGGGTGTCATAAAAATTTTCGTATGTATCCTCATCTAAGCTACGTAGGCGTTAATCTTCTTCTTTTAAGGAAAATAAAGATGGATCACAAAACATATTGGGCGGAAGCTGCCCTCTTTCCCTGAAGCGTATCCTTGAAGGACTTCACAAGCCTTCACTAACCATCCAAGCTACGACATACTCTTAGATTTGAGGGGAGATGGAGAAGTTGTGGCTCACGTTTCCAGCAACCCTTTTTCTCTAGACATACCTTTTGAATCCGGCCGAAAGGAAATCTTGTGGTTTCGACTCAAATCATCCTCCAAGTTTTGCTACGTCTATAGTCTTGTATATATTTATTTATAAATAATTATGTTTATTTTTCAGATACAAACATTCAGGCAACTTTCTGGAACTCACGGCAGACTGGAACACAACTTCAGGCCAATCCAACCTTTGTTCGATAGAGTCATATACATGAATTCTGGCTCTTACACCTACATCAAGTATACAGCATTTTTGTTAACGATCCTAGGAATCATGTGTCAGTAGATTGTCGAAAGAATAATAACCAAGTGAGTGCGAATGGAAGAAGTTATTTTAGTATCGTTTACAAGCAAGCTTTAAGAACAGATACTCATTAACTACGATTTGTAGAATTTAGTGACGCTTGTTTCCTTGTCATTGTTTATCTGATTATCGTTTAAAATTAATTTTATTTTTACAGAGAATATCTATAAGTGTTAAAATTTTACCGATAGCAATAAATATGTGTTAAAACCTCGAGTTGTTATTCATATAGAAAGTGTTGATGAGAGCTCCAAGAAGTAGTCCGAAAAGGCCATTAATAGAAAGCGAGCAACTGGTCAGCAATCCTCACTATCACAGTTTATGATCTGCACATGGGCTTACTATGACATTATAATTAGCTGTACACCGATGTTATAGAGGGGCAAGAACAAAGAAATTGTAAGTCAGCAAAAAAGACACGAGAATCTTCAAACAAAAATAGGAGAGTCAAGAAATTAATTAAAAAAAATTTCAGCAAATAATCTTAGCCAACCAAATTATTTAAAATGACTACCGGCCAACATTTTGACTCCTCAGATCTTCCACATTTTTCATTAGACTAGTGTACATTAGTAACCTAAGATGGCGTCTTAAAACAACCTAGAGAGATATGATTAATTGAGGCGGACGACTTATGATACTATTTTCATATGTTTTAATAAGTCATGTTTGTGGAAGCGTTTAATAGTCTAAGAGCAGCTTGGAGTCTTATTTTGAACAACTTTTGTAGGTTGGGAAGCAACTCATGCGTTTTCTAATAAAAAAGTGTTTAAAAAAATTGTTTACATTATAGCTTCTTCGAGAGCAGTTTTTCGAAACTCAAAATGATACCAGCTCAACGAATTATCTCTTGACTTTTACACGCTAGTGCATATTATGATTGGTTGAGCAAATGTCAAAAAGACAAAAATCACATTAATAAACTTTTTATTCATTACGTGTACCTTTTACAATAATATCTGAAAATTACAATTTTTATGAACTTTTTTGTATAGTACACAACACCAAAATTTTTTATACATCAATGCGAATTTTTGGAATGAAAATACAAAACACGATACACAAATGTTCAAGCTTGTGTACATTTTTCTGACTGCCTTTTATACCTACAAGGATATACATTTTCAGACATACTGTAGTTGTAAATACAACGATTCTATTCTGTAACTAATCCCAAGGTATAAAAATATGCTTTTTCAAGACGTTTCAAATAAAAATATGTGTTTATATCATTTTGTTGTGAGTTTACTAATAGTTTTAGAAACAAGTTTGGTGATAAGACATATTCCGTCCTTAAATGCACATGGTAAAATGGTAGATAGTATGGACCGAGACTTTTCCATAACTGAAGATAAAAAAGTTGTAAATTCTGCACTAAAAGATATACGCCAAATCTTTAATATCACTTATCTTTGGCACCATTGAACCCATTTTGTTGAACTTTTGCACTATAAAAAATTTACCTAGGAGTTACTTTTACGTAGGAGTTACTTAAAACTAGACAGATGGTTGAAAAATCCAGGGCCGGATTCGGGTTTTTTAACTTTTTTATTTTTATTTCCAAAATCAACATCTACTAAGCTGAATATTGAAATGTTTGAGTATGCAGAAAAAAGCTAATAAAAAGTGCTATTCAATTAGCATTATGTAACTAAATCTAACGTAGAGTTGTGGTGAGGGCAAACGTAACTATGCTGAAAATTCCGGATTAGGTCCTGATATGTATACGTACATATACATATACCTAATAAGGTATGTCCACATTTTCACCATAATCTTGAGTTAGTCTGTAGAGTCATGTACAGAGCATCTGCATACTAAGTGCCATTTCTCTTTACACTGATGTTCAACAGCAGTTAGTAGAATGGAGACAAAGCTTAATACTCAGAGTAGATTATAACTTGAAGGGCGTTTACTTGATAGAATACAAGGAAATAAAGAAAAACTTAATATAACCCCGCCCACCAAACATCTTTGGTTCAATTTTTAGCATAATTTTGTAAAATGCAGAGGACTAGAAGTTGATAACCATTTTGAATGAATATTTTTTATTGAAAAACCAAAGCCACTATCAATCTATCTTACTGCTTAATTAATACCCTTTATTGGGCTTTTTTTAGATAGTCAAATCTTTCTATATTCAACCTAAAAGGTGTTGATTTTGATAAAAAAACAAGAAAGTGAAGAAAACAAGTCAGGACCTAGATTTTTCAACCGCCCGTCCAGTTTTACGTTACTATTTGGACACTGCTATTGTACAAAATCGTTTTAATAGCGCCTGAGATATGTGGTATTAAGACTGAATTTAGGGTTTTTTAACTTTAAGTACCGAACTCCAACATAATATAATTTTCTGTGGTAAATTGTTTAAAAAACGTGCGATGGCTGTGTAGGATTTTGTATTTAGTTAAGAAAATTTTATGTTCAACTTGAAACACAAGTATAATAAAATACATAATTTTATGAAAATGATAAGATAGCGAAACAAGATTCGGATATTAAACACGTCGATTTGATGGGTAGTAAAACCTGTCACTAATTGCATTTTGGATACACTCTGTGTGTCCATACTTGTATTGGCGTAGGGAATTAGGATGCTCCTTCACCATATTTGAAGACACACAACCAATATTTTTAAAATACAGAAATATTGTGACGCCTAACCATCTGTGGAATAACGCATCCTCTGATGATTTTTTTTCTAAATAGTAGGTTTATTTGCGGTATAGCAAACGTCATCTTTACGTGTGTCATTGACAAAACAAATCGCATAACTTTCCTTTTCAAATTCTCCCATATATACACAACAATGAACAAATATGCATGTATTATAAATTAATATATTTATATTCTTATACATAATTATCAAAAAGTGAATCAAACGAACGGTTTGAAACATTTTGATTATAAGGAAATAAATATACTCAAAATCATAGAAATAAATATTAACCAAATACAACTATATGTCATAACGTACCCAAACTAGCATCCAGTTATCGTCCTAAATTATTTATTTAAATACAATTCCATTCCAGCACAAACTGCAGGTGAAATGAAGTATGAGCATCAAGGCCATATCCATATTTGCGACATAATTTCGGGAGAACTCCCCGAAAATAATTGACAGCTTATGTGCAGATATAAATTCGGACAGTTTGGACTTTTTTTAGTATTCATTACTATGGATCCTTGAACCAATGCTTTCTCTTATAGTTGTATACTCCAAGCAAATTACGCCAAATGCTATGTAAATTTCTCAAAATTAAAGGCAGTGAATATATGGAAAAATAAAATTCGATAGCTCAAATGAACTAAAACGCAACAGGTTTTTCAAGAAATGATGGTCAAAGATGGTAAAAAATTGTTGTTCACTCCTATATTTCAAATACCACCTGTTACAAAAAATGTTTTACACGAAATTTGTGAAGATTTTTTTTAATATAAACCTCGTCAGACCAAGCCAACGTCAATCAACAATTAGATTAAAAAGTTTGCAAAAAATGGATCGTTATCTAATTGTTTTTATAATTACTCTTATCTACTTCAAAAACAAAAGGCTTTCAATGAGACTTTATTATATTTTGTTCCATGGAAAGTAAAACAGAATGACGCTTGCGAAGTTTGAAAATATTGTACAGTTTTTCGAAAAAAAAAATTTCGTAGAGTGTGTTTTACCATTGAGTATCCGTTACGGTAAAATATCACCTGATTATCTAGTAGGTAATATTTCAAAATTCCTATATCCACAAATGATACATAATTCTGACGCATCCGTCAACGCCAGGCAGGCAAAGAAGTATTTTCTTTTGTTTTTTTTTGTACGCATCAGAGTTATTTTTTACTTGTTTGCAGCTCTTTTATTTAAAAAAGTTCATTTGCATACAAAAAACGATTTACCCAATTCATTATTGCCAACGTTACTGACTAATACAAAGATGTTGCTTGCTGAGTAGACGTCAAAATGTGATAGTTACTCGTCAAATAGGGTTTACCTGAAGATAGCTAACTTGATTCTAGTTGTGAATGTAACAAATAAATCGACTGACCAAATGCATATTTTCAACCTTCATTTTTTCTGTTTGAAAAAAAAAACATTTCTAGCACAGCCCATTGTAGGCAAAAAAATGTAATGCAACAAATGCCAAAAGTGGAGTTGAAAAATCTACAGGATGTTCACGATGATGATGCGCTAGCTCTGAATTATAGAAATAGTTGAACATTCTATTGGAAAAAGAGACACGTGACAAACTTACAGAATTAAGTTCTGTTTACAATTCATAATTGTTGCAAAGTCTAATCGAATTATTAAGGTTAGAATTAGTATCAAGAATTATTATACGCCCGAAGAAAAAATAGAAAAGAATCAAGTCAAAAATGATACATATTTAACAGTTTTTTTCCAATAACTCTTCTATCAATTTATTTATTAACGTCGACTTGGTGTCAGTAAGTATGTGATAACGTACTACACAACTTTAGTAAAAAACATTTATTTCGTTTGAAAAATAACTTTTTGGTCATCTTTAACCATCATTTCAAGCAAAGGCGCAAGAAATAACTGTTGCATTTTAGTGCATTTGAAACTTGGGCCATCGTATTTTCATCTTATTTTTCCATATAGTCGCGTACACGCAATAATATTGACACTCCAAAAATGAATTAGCTTGGACTAGTACAACTGGAGCTTTTATAGATTTCGCGCACAGATATGAACTCCTGAGGGCAACATCCTTTACCGTCGTTAAAATTTTGCTGCTCTGACGAAGTTATATGCTTACCAGTTTTTAGCAATTGCTTGATGGCCCACTTCATCTGTGCAGCAGTTATTTTACGTAACTCTACGTCTACTACAACGAGTTTATATCACATTTTCTTTTACAATGCAGCACCATGTTTACCATTATGTCTGAGCAAACCTGTCATCGTTATACAAAAAAAAATATTTATAACAAGATAAAAACCAATTTTCCTAACAATAAATGGACAATGTCAAAAAATGAATTATTTCTCTTTCTATATACAAAGTGAAAATCTGCAAGACATTATTGATCATATAGATGTTCCTTTTGTGTTGTAGTTATAAGCGATGATAGTACAGTTATGTCTTAAGCTTTCCTGTAAGGGACAGATTCATCGGAAAAGGGCAGTTTTGGACAAAGAATCATCAATTTCTTGACACTGTGGCATTGTTCGTTACATACGAGTATGTATTCTGAAAGTTGTACACATATAAATAGTAAATGATAAGTGAACATAAGATACGGTAACAATTTCGTTGTTGATAAAATACAATCTAAGTGTGGTTATTATATTAGTATTCTCAACCAGAGCTACGTTCCTATGTGAACAAAACAGTCAATATCACTGGACAATTAGCTTGACTATGTTTATGCGGAGGTAAGTTGCTTTTGTAAAATATTTCTTGGTGTATAATTATATATCTATATAAGTTACGGAGACACCTAAATGCAGTAATAGAAAATTTGCAATATATGAATATGTGACGAACTAGGAACGTTTTTCTGATTGAAAGCACAAAGTCTCAATATTTATACCTAGACAAGTACTATACAAAACATCGACAAACACCATTTTATTAAGCACAATGATTTTTAAGTCTATGCCCCTCCTCCCATAAAAATTTAGGTAATGAAACAATTTACTGAGAAATGAAGTGAATATTTACATTACACAAAAATATTTCCAACTATTTTGCATGTTTTACCTATTAGGAACATTCATTTAAGATCTTTTCTTTAGTATTTACACATATAAGTAGCGAAAATCATGTATTTGCGTTTTCATATTTCATATTATATATGGAAGGACTTATTTGTGCTTCAGGACAATTGCTTGGTAGAAGTATCTGTATATGTAGAAAATTAACCATTAAGATAGAATGAAATGCACCAGACCAACAATAACAAGTCATCTACAGTCCATTGTATATAATGAGAATACTCATTGTACAAACGCCTTCTTTAACGTCCTCTATTTACTCCATTTGATTTTACTTCTGTTACCGAGGCTTCAATCTTCATTCTATCTTAAAGATAATCAATTACGAATAAAATATTCGTCTGTATAAAATAATCATTCATTTATCTGTAAACAAAACATTATCTAAAGGCACACCTGTCTGAAAACTGAGGATCTCTGAGTTTGTCCAAAAGCCATGTTGCAAGTTATCACACATACATTAAATGTAATATATCAAATATAGTTGTTAGGTATAAGGTAAATCTCTGAAAGTCGAATAGACCAAAACTGATCCATTTCTTTGTGGAAAAGCTTAGGTCTACTTTAGATTTGAATATAATTCCCAACACTATTTGTATTATTGCCAAGGTAACTCGAAATTATTTTACGAGCGTAAAGTATTCAAGAAACGGAAACGGGCTTCAACCTATTGCGGCAAATGGTGCGCCGCAGGATGCGACGCAAATTTTGTTCTAATAAAAACGTGTGTTTACTATCATCAACTTGTTATTTGTTTTTAAATACACAAAGTAAGTCTGAATGTTTGCTCATAAAACTAGCTTCAAAGACATTTTCTTGAAAACCTATTGTCTGATTGAGAAACTAGGGAATTACCTCAGAAACTTTCTTGCATCAAATTTGCGGTTCATTAGTACTGGGAATTCAGTCAAGATTCATTGAATTTCAAACGGTATAGTAAATGTTTAACATCATTGTGGCGTTCATAACTTATAACTATGTTAATGTTATTACTGTATTTGAGCAACATTATTTTTTCATATAAAAAACGAGTAACAATATAAACAGTACTGTAATGGACGTCATTTGTACACTTGTAGAAAAATATTTGATCTATTTAGTTTATTTCTTCATTTTAAATATTGGTGAGGCAGGATGTTCGATGTTAAACATTTAAATCTAATTCTACTCACATCTATATAAACTGTAAACGTAGATGGTGCCCTTTAAAGTACTTCATAGATACCTATTGGAGATATCGGAGTAAATATTTCTTCCATGGAAGATTACGTTTTCGAAAATGAAAGTAATTGCCCAAAAATTATTATGTACACATAAGTCTTATCGTATAGTCAAGCTATTTATTTTTCTAGATACAATTCTTTTCTGCATTTTTTGTACCAAGTTACCTTCGTCTCTCTTCTCTGTCAGTTAAGGTGTTACTTACTTAAATGGTACAAAGTTTTCTAACACTTGGATGATCAGGTATAGTTGACCCTCTACTTCGTTCAAAAATATTGAGAGTTTCTGCTTCACAGGTTCTCGCACAAGCTCTACATTTTTACTGGCTACGGCACATTCTCTTGTTGATAGAACACGGCGAAAATGATAGGAACAAAGTATAGGAATCTGAGAATGAAAAGAGGAGGCAAGCGAAGTGTATCAAGGACCGATGGCAATGCAATAATTTGATAACAATTTGCCATTATCCTTTTATGACCACCAGGATTGATAAATTCTTTTAGAGATCCTCTGTAGGGGAGTAAGAGAGATAGAGCTAACGCGCGATCTACGCATGCGTGCAGTTTCGGACTTACTCTTTGTTGGTTCGGGCACACGGCACAGCACAACGGAGGCAGATACTTTTTCAAGGTAGTGCATTCTCACCTTGTTCATTGCGAACGTTGCCATTAATTCTGAGTTTAGCTTCGACCGTTCACAAGATGCAAGGTGGTACAGTCGATCATGCAGTCATTTATCTAGGCTCACGACTGTTTGCTGCTGGACAAGCTTATGTAGTACTTAGTCGTGTAAGATCTTAAGACGGTATTCGGATTGAAGAACTTGACTGCTCTAAGTTAACAGGAAAAATCCCATGTAACAGTGAAGATTTAAATGAAATGATTAGATTACGAAATGATTCGTAAGGCATTGCAAGACCACATGTACAAAAGAAACTAATTGATAAATCGAACTAAAAAATGAAAAATAAATGATAGTTTAAAAAAACTAAAAAAACACGCTACTATAGCTAACCGAACTAAAAAGTATAAAATAATTTTTAATTACAAAGAGTTTAAATTACAGTAGTAGATGGTCGAACAATCAATCATAATAATTATTGACGTCAAAATAAAATTATAATATCTAAAAGTTAAGTTATTAACAGAATAATTCAATTCAGAGTAAAAAGCTTGATATATTAAATGTTACAATCATTCTATTGGCAACCATCAGAGACCAACCATGGTATGAGAGGAGGATTATGAAGATGTAGTAAAACGCACCCCACGCTTTTTACTCGGAATTGAATTATTCTGTTAATAACTTAAATTTTATTATAATTTTATTTTGAGGTCATTAATTATGATTGACTGTTCAACCATCTACTACTGTAATATAAACTGCTTCTATCTGCCAAACTGATTCGGACAACTTGTGGTTACAACAAGACAGTGCCACATGTCATGCAACCTACGAAACAATTTATGGGTCGATTTGAAGTCAAAGATCTATTCCAATAAGTAGAAAGACAGCTGTATAGTAATAAAAGAAATCTAAAGGTGCCTCAAAGAAATTTAGCCACATTTATGCAAAATGGCCACGAAAAATTTCTACAAAAGAGTGCCAGCAAAGCCGATATGCAATTTCAGATACAACACTATCCTGTGAATTTTATGAGTCAATCGGGAAATAATCTAAATCTGAGTTTTCTATTTAATTCAAAACTTATGTGAGTTTTAAAACACCCTTTATCCAGAGTAACCAATGTATAACCTTTTCCATCATCCATCATGGCAGAATGGCAGCTGATTATCTAGAAATATTTCAAATTTCTCCATATCCGCAAAGGACACATAATTCTGACGGATCCGTCAATGCCAGGTAGACAGAGCCATATTTTGTTTTGATTTTTTTGTACACTACATATTTATTTTGGACTTGCTAAAAGTTCATTTGCATACAAAAAAATCGATACAAACAAGTTTTATTAGATTTACACCCGATTCATTATTGCCAACGTTGCAGACTAAGACAAAAATGTCACTTGCTGATCTGATCAGCTGTTCACCTAAGTAGGTGCTTTATAAAAATGTTAACATAACCTAGCTGCATTTATAACCTACGTGAAATAGAAAGAACAACTTTTGCTTCAATTGGTAAAATTTAAGGATCATTATTTCGATACAGTGGAATAGAATTGCAATAAAATGTGTTTTGGTGAGAGCATGACTAGTTGTTTTCCAAGGTGTGCAAACTTATGTGTATATTGGAGCTTTTTATTAGTGGTAATTGTGAAATATTTTTTAGGGAACATCTACGTTTTGTCAAAATCTACACATTTAATAACTCACTTGAAATGAGGTACATTCATTTGGCACGAAACCTGTTTAAATAGTATAAATATCGTGAACTTTTATTAAATATCTATATATCAATCAATTTTACACATACTTAAAAGTTGTTGGGGCAAGTTACAAGAAACACCTATTCGACGTTTTCTGTTTCGTTTGACTAGAGGTAACTTTGTCAATGCCACTTACTATATTGCTTATGTTCGGTAACTCTAAAATTAAAAATAATACACGTTACACATATCACAAAAACCTAAAATTTAATCACAGCCAAAATAAACGTTGAATTGAGTCTTAGGCTGATTCATGCGGACGGTAGACAAAAAAATCTATTTGTCGTTGGCGCATTTCTGAAATATATTACCACATATCTCATAGAATAAACTCTTTCAAGTATCATAAACAGAAAAGTGACTGCTACTTGGCAATGGCTGCAACTATCGATTACTGATATCCACTGAAAATCATTTTGACTTACTTTATTGCCAGCTGTATATGTAGACACAACTTTACAGATATCTCGGACGTTGAAGGTCGTTATTTCACTTAACGTATTAGTGCCCGCGGCGCTTCGCACCCTCTCTAATTTTATGCCGCGAGCCTAAGCCTCCACCGTATGCCCTAGATAAATAAATATTTCAGTTCAAGAGTGTTGATGCACCTTGTAATCATCAGTTAAAATGTGCTTGACTGTTTTGTAGTTACAAATATTTCTATTTTTTTCACTACCTTATAGTGACACCGACTCATTTATATTTATGATCAAATAATCTGAAGTTGTAACAAAACAAATCGGGATATCAAATAATATGTCATTGCTACCTTTTGGAAAGAACAGATTAGATGTCATACGTTAAGCTCCGGCATTTGTAAAAATTGTATTAAGCTGATCTTGTTTTGGACCACTTGCAGACAATTGTTGATTCCTTAATAAAACGAATGCTAATAAAAAGCATTTAACCATATTTATTCTATAGAGATATATGATTCAATATTTTAGCGTCTGTCAATTAACTTTGGTGTGATATAAATATATGTAGGACTGTAAAATATTCCTTATAAAATAAGTCCGTTGGTGCTTTATAAAAAATTAGCGATTGTTACATCTTAGGCACTTTTAGTGTAAATAAATCATTTGTATGTATGTGTATATAAAATAATATTCACTTCGATTACCTGAAAAACGACATCTATAACCTCGGTGTAGTATTAAAAAACATTGAAATTGCTATAATTTACGTTCCAAGACTATACTGAGGTTTTCTTATTAGTAGTTGCACTGAAAGGACTCAGTAGTTGGTTGAGAAAACATTTAAAAATTTCCCAAGCTCAACTGAGGGTTTTCAGCGTATGAATTTACAATTCCAAATATCTAAGTTAGGCTTAACATAAACAGTTTACGTTCATTTTTAGCAATTGGCTAGGTTTCCCACACAATACTCCAAGCACATCAAAATCAAGCCTAGGAACTATTTCATCAACCAGACTAACTGGACTAGAACGTCAGGTATTTTGCTTCATTGTAAGCCTACCATGGTTTATGAAATTCATTACTATACACTGAGGTTTTGAAAAAAGTGCTAATTCGATCCTTTAAAACTTCTAAACCATAAACAATTCGTTGTTTGAACTTTTACTTTCTACTAAATAGGTACAACAACAGAATGTAACCCGAAATACGAGATTTACAAAGCTCCAATAATGTCCAAAATTTCTTAGTCTGTTTGGTGAAACGATGAGTAGACTTGAATAACAACATCGCATATGTATTTCTAAAAAAAGCTGACCATGTACAGTTACCTATTAACGAAATCAACCAAGGGGCAGAAAGATCCGGATGCTGTACCAGAATGTCGAGACTTTAATAGGTTTGTTCCCTAAACCGTATTGAATTCAAAACATACACAGTTGTCTCAAATAACAAATGCTTCAAGATTAATTCTTGTCTATCATTTAAAAACAATTTTCCATTAAATGGAGGTAGATTCTTTGAGAAAAATAATTTTTCACTTTTGAAGGTAACATCAGATGGTCATACAGCTTCCAAGGCTATTGACTTTGTAAGACCAGCAGAGCCAAATTTGAGGTACAGGTTTATATGTATAGTTTGTGATTTCAACTGCATTTCTCAGCAAACTAGACTTACCAGGAGAGACTATATTAACAGAGTAATAAATAAATAACCACTGAAAATATTGAAGGGTTCATATAAACAATGATTAACTAGCCATAAGTAACACCAATAAGTGCATAGTGAAGGGAAACGCCTCAGTTCAGATTGATGATGGTGATACGTCTGCGTCAATTTGAGAACAGCGGCGAGTACCCCAAGATCGAACGATATGAAACTTCCATTATGACTTTTTCTGGATAAAGAAATCGCATTGGGGTGCTTTATTGGACTTTTGCGTATAATTGTTTTTCCTTGGCACGTGCGGAATTTGGACGGCTGGCACTGAAGGTAAAATAACCGAAAAGGTACTCGAATGCACTAAGTGCCATATCGTCAGTGGTTCCTACAATGGCCTCCTTCATGTCCTGTATTTTTTTCATAAAGAATTGAAAAAACAAAGTGACGAATAAATAAGATAATGTGTTTTATTATGTAGTGGTAGTAAAATTTTCAAGCAATTAATAAATAATTTAATAACAAACCAGCGACTGTTTTTTATTATTTTCTAAACGCACTCGAATTATTATTTTAAAGTAAAAGTAAAAGTAAATAACGTTAGACTATTTCAAGAAATCATTAAATGTTATGCTCATCACCAGGATCGGAAGGTCTTGAGGTAAAGTAAAAGCGCAGTTTACGGTCAATTTAAAGACTAGCAGGTATAAAGCTTACCATTATGCTTGCTTTTGTCCGCGTTTTCCTGGATAACGGTAGATATAGTGGATACCAAATAAAATCCGATGCACGTCATAGGTGATGTCATTCATAAAAATCATGGTTACCAACAGTTGACTACATTCAATGTGACATTTCTACTTGAAGTTTAAATTTCCTCGTCTCGATTCGGTTGGTAGTGCCGTGCAGAGAAATGTGAGGTTGCCACTTCTCATTTGTTGACATCAGTTGCCATTGTCCTTTTGTCGTACTATTAGTACTTTATTGTTTAGTTTGTGAGTTTTGCGCTATTTGAGCTTTGCCTTGCCAATTTAAAATTGTTCTTTTCAGAACAACAGTTACTGTGAAGTGGTGTAAAGTATCCAAAATGCCAAAACAACTTAACAGTCGGTGTAAAGAGCTCATATCATTGAATATCTACCAAAATCAGGTGTTTTTATTCAGAAAGGAATTTAATTTTACAAGTTTTTTTATTTTTAATATAATGGTATTATAGTAAATGGTAGGTATATATAAACAATTTATTTTATTAAATTTATTTGCTTAAAAGAAAATGTGCAAATTCTGGCAACAGCGCACAGCTCCAGATCGATGACGTGCATCGGGTTTTATTTGGTATCCACTATACGTATATAGTTTTTTCACGGTTTTTGGCAGTTACGTCATCAATGTCATACAAAATAAATAAGAAAATCGACTAACTGTACCATGTGCACACCTGAAGCTACGTCGGAAAATTGCAGACTGGGCCAGCCGATCTTAAATGGAGATGCTCTTGCAGACATGAGTTAGTTGATAAAGCATCATTGGTTTCATTCCGAAAATACTCCAATAATTTTGACAGAAACTATCGATATTATGCGTTACTTGCATTTTTAGGCAATGCTACGCTTTATATCACGAAGATGAATAAAATTACGTCCGTGTCAAGTGGGTTGTCACGCTGAAAGTGACAAGCAAGGATCAGTAATACTCATACGTTGGCAAGAAAATTTCCGAAGTTTGTAATTTAGAGATATACAACTTCTTGACTCTTAAATTTGACACTGCTGTTCCATTAACCTCATACATAACAAGCTTATGAGTGTCTAGCGAGGAGTATTGATGTGAGTGGTGAGATGCTTGGACAGGTAGTCGGCCCTAGCGAAACACTTTCCACACATATCGCAATGGTAGGGGCGTTCTCCAGTGTGGATGCGCAGGTGCCTGGTGAGGTCGCTTTTTCCTCCAAATGCCCTTCCGCAAAACAAACAGACGAACGGACGTTCGCCCGTGTGTTTGCGCACGTGCAGCTTCAGATTCTCTTTGCTGCGCACGCACTTGCCGCAAAAAGGACACGCAAATCTGAAATTGAAATGGGCTCATTCACAAATAATATTTTTGCAAAATAGAACTAAAATATGTCACGCCATCTCAGTATCTGTCTTATAAAGGAGATTTAGAACCCACTAAACACGCGTGTTACATGAACATCACTTTTATGTAAAACGTATACCCTACAACTTACATATTTTTTGTTATATTGCTATTATGTAGACCTAAATACATCGATGTCACATTTTATAATCTTTACGTTGCTGAGTGTGGTAACTTCATCACTTAGTTAGGATGTAAGGATTATGTAGGACATGTTATATAATATTAACATTTTTGTTACATAAATGGTGTATACTATTTTGTGTATGTAATATTGTGTAACACCTCATACTCGACTAACAACTTTCAGGTAAACATCAAATCTATAGGAGGTAAAGACGCAGACTACTTTGGAAACAGCCATGTTCACCGATGAATTGGGAACTTGTTCTTTGGTTGCTCATAGAAACAACTTTTGTCTTGTACACCTCAACTTCATGAAAGCCTAGCTAGGTATGCAAATTGATTATAAGTCTGTACCTCAGAGCCATACTAGTCCATTTTGCTTAAAATAAGTTTTATATGTTAAGTTCGTGATAATAGTTTGAGTTATTATTTGCTACTTACAGCGTCCACCTACCTGTAAAAATGAGCAAGTTACGCCTTTATAGATTAACTCACATACATAGAAGATAAATATTCCAATTGCAATTATTTCAAAACTACTTATTTGGACTTAACTTAGTATGGCTTTGAGGTCCAGATACTAACATATCCTTTGAAAAATTTGTTTTATATCATAACATTTCAAACCATATCGTATTTGTTTGATTTTGTTTCGATTGTTTCCAGATACCATATCATCAGGAATAAGTACCAATTGTGGAAAATGCTATCGGCGAGGGGTTCTGGCTGAGTTACCAGAAAATAAAGATGAATCTGACAGCTTGATTGAGTTGTATAAATAATGATACTATTTTCCGTATTAATAAATATATTGAAATATATATTTATGTTTTCAGACATTTCTTGTTTGACTAAAAACATGAATTGTCTAAACTTCGCATTCCGTCTTATAACCTAATTTACTATATATTATTTTGTTTGAAACTGCTGTTCAATAAATTTTCACTAATCTAAGTTACTAAAGTAGATATTGGTGAATCTGCCTTTATTATACACAAATTAACACATGACATGTAGCATATATGCTGTCACAAAAGTAATTTCTATTTGCGGAAATTTATGACACAGTTTGTATACAAGTTTTTAAGTAAATTTTTGTTAATACTGTTGTTCCCGAGACTTAACCTGTGATTATCTGCTAATTCTATTTTATTCAAGTGGTCAATAAATAATACCACTGAGTTGATGGTAAAAACGTTAACTAACGTTTCAGATAACTTGGTACTATTTTTTAATCAATTAATAAAATATAGAAGAAATATCTTCTGTTCTAGAAGAAGTCCCTTCTATACTTTATATTCAAATTATTTAAAATTTTGTATTTTAAAGAAGACCACCGAGGTAGTCGAATCGTTCGTAAGCTTTCCTATCATCAGTTATGTGGTCTTATTTATTGGCCAATTGAATGGAATGGAATAAATGGCTGATGTAACAATTACGTCAATTCTTGAATATAAATGTTACGTAATTTTCGAATAAAAATGAAATAACGAAACTGTCACTGATATGTAAGTAAATATTATATTCTGGTAGAAAGTAACTGCATTTACATAAATACTACATATACATGCAGGGAGAAGTAAACTGTTCTGGACATTTTCACCAGTTTTCAAGTTCATCCTTACCTTATTTGGATTTAGTATTTACTTAATTTTTACATAACTAATAACAAATAAATATAAGGTTTAGTTAAAATTTATATAGTATATCTGTATTCGGTGGGAACGTGATCAACTTGTATTTTTACGTTTTGCGACATTGAAGGTTAATTTAGACATTACTAAATATCATAGAGATGACATGTAAAAACAAAGCTGACGGATTGTGAATCTTTGCTACCACTGACAAATTTGCATGTACCTTGTAAAATATATAGATACAATATGCCTGTAGTTTTTTTTTGAATAAGTGAGAGCAGTAAGCTTCATAATACCAAACTTAAAAATTGGCTCTCGTACCTATACCAAAAACAGCAAAAAATGAGAGTTACCTGCGTTCCCTCTGTCTATCTTGCGTGTCGGGTCCTCCGAGCAGGTGGTGCAAAGATGCAGCAGCATCATGGTGACTGTGGTGTGCCTGCACTGTTTCCGGTGACCTTACGGGGGCAGAGTGTCCACCAGTGGTCGCTATCACTGAATTAACGGGAGCGGAAGATGGGGAATACTCTGCCGTTACCATAGAGTCCACCGTGTCGTCTTGGTCTACCTCGGCGTCTTCTTTTTCTGCGTCCGACGATGTGCCTTCACCTGAAAAAATGTATCAAGTAGATTTACTCAGTATTTCATTTAGCCAATATAATTTTAATGTCTTTGTTCACTATGTGAGATCATACTAAGATCATCCTAGGTTCCTACAAAATTAACCTGATTGTAGTTTTATTGGCGATGACATTATTACCTATACTGAAGTCAATAGATACGCATATTCAATAAGTTGGTCATGGAAGTTTGCTTCCACTACCTTTACCAAGATAGACTATTAAACTTGAAGTTTGTGATGTAATTATTCGACACTACTTTTCAACGGTAAAATTGGAAAGTTTCTGTAACATCCGTTGTGTCTTGTGTTGAACATATGTAATCATCTGTTATTTTTTCTGATTCCATGTACACCGTAAATCGAACGGATTACTATTTTTGGATTCACTTCTATACAGGTTGTTTCAAATTCGACCCTCACTTGAGATCTCGGAAACTGTAAGAGATACGAAGTCGCTTAAAGGGGGGCAAAGTTGCGTATGTACGTGATCAACACAATGTCGCTTGGAAAGTTCCGAAATTCAAAGTTCTTCTGGAGAGAGACCTAAAAATCCGAGTTTTACCAAGATCGTTTTAATTTTACCGCTGAATGGAGTTTTTGATTCTGTTCCCAAAAGTATATACGTCATACATTGACATTGCCTAACCTTAGTTATTTCAAACAGGCAGAGTTTCTCAGATAGCTCTTGAAATTATCAGATAGATTTTTATTTTTTCCTGACTTTATTTGGGATGGGATTTCAAAATAAATTGCATGTTGTCATTGTTGCTTATTATCTTCTGCAACATGATGCGTAGTCAAATTTTCTATTCAACATTTATTCTTTCGACTCCCATCACCAACTTTGTTATTTCATATGGACGCTATATTGGAATTTTGTACATTCAAATGGACTTTTCAGTCCTAAATTTTGTTATGTATTTCCTTAGTTAGCCATGCATTTGTAGTTAGATGAAAATTATAAGGAAATAAAATGATATGGTGAAATCTGAACACAAAATGAAAATTTTATCGATGATACTAACACTAATAATCGTAAATAAGCAGAGGTAAATCATAACAGATGTTGTGAGTTATTTTGTAGGCAAGCCCTGACTCTTCTCTGTACATTGTTCACTGCTGGATTTATTTCTCTTCTTCTCAGTCTTCCAAACTCGGTTGCTATGTTCAATTTTAGGTCTTGTCGGGTATACGAAACAAATGACATCTGTTAATTTCAAGGCCTCCCTAGGTACTTCCGTTTTTCTGGAATAACAGGTTTGGCAACATCAATGTATGGCAGAATTAAAAACTCTCTATTTATTTGCGCAAAAATTTGATGCTGGAGGACAAGAGAAGAGACGTGATATTGAAATTCTAATTATGTCATTCTGTAGAGGAGAAAAAGTGGCATTCTTAACATGCAATTTATTTTTATATTTTAGGACCTCATTACGAAGTCAAGAAAAATTGAAATGATTTCGGTAAAATTCGTTTTTTTCGTCTCTCGATGGAAGTACTTCGAGATTCAAAACCTTCTAAGAGACATTTCGTTAGTTGCCTAAATAGACAACTTTGCCCCTATTTAAGCGACTTCCTATCTCTTACCGTGTTTTGTAGTCTCTCACCTCACGAAGTGACTTAACTGAATATCAGTTCGCTGCTTGGAAATAAAATTCTTAAGAAATTGTGTATTTGACCGATAATTATACTACAGCACGTACCGGCGCATGAGTCTCTAATAATATGTAAACATAACCTATAAGTATTGTTGTGTTGTTGTGAATGTCGACTTAAACAAAATTCTTATTTTTCTTGTCATTTACTTTTTGTTTCTACTTATATTATGTAGAGAATAAAATAATTTTTATTTTTTCGATACTTTGATACCCATGTCCAGTTTTAAATTGTTGGCGTAACTACAAAATAAAACAAACAAGAGTCTTCACGAAATGGCGTAAATGTACAAAACATATTTTTTTAAGACTCATTCTACTTTTACAAAATTAAACCATCTCAAAACAAAGTTCTACATAATTTTAGTCTAACAAAAAAACAGCAACGTGCAGACTAAAAAATCAGTATGTCACTTTCACTCTTATTTATTGCTGATTTTCGTTTTCCAGCTCTCCTGTAAAATTTGTAAAATGTTAGTTACGCCGGTTCGTGAGGAGACCGACGACGTCTAACGAGTCGTATTGGCATCAATCCTAGCATGATGTGGTGCAATAGGAAAACACATTTAATTCTAGGGTAGGGTGAAGCTACATGTTTACCTGCCGCCTCATCAGTAATTTCCTTCTTGACTACAATAGGGATTTCCTCCTCTTCGATGTTTATAGTTTCGTTGGAACTGGACACTTGATCACTGCTGTTTTCCACTGCGTTTCTGTTATGTTGATCTTCATCCACACAGTATTTGGAATCTTTGGCTATTTCGCTGCTACTTTTGCCATGCAGTTTTTCAAGAGCATGGTTCAAGCGATGTTTTTTGAAGGATTTTAGGTAACGAAACTGCATACCTGGAAGGCCACATCATAAAATAGTAACATAGTAATTTATTTCTGAAATTATTAAGAAGTTTTTTGCAGATAACGTGGTATTAATAAAAATGCATACAATAATAATAAACCGTCTTTTATTAAAAATAAATTACAGATAATACATGTATTACCTTTAATGAAATTAATGAGCAGCTCAATGGGAAAGTTTAGCTATTCTTACACTTACACTTAACCATTTACTGCATACAAATATTAGATGGTAGAAAAGTACACAATAGAAGAACTACACATAATTGAAAGGAGGAAAATGAACCAGAAACTGATCATAACCTAAACATGTCTTAGCAAAAAGTATAATGCTGGAGAAAAACACATTTAGAAAACATGATTGAGCAGAAGAGCTTTTAAATGTTCACTGAAACCATATAGAGTCAGGCTGTTTGTTCTATAATACAAGCTATTGAACAAGATGTACGCATTATATGAGAAGGACCGTTTAAAAAGAGATGAACTATGAAGGACTATTGTTAATGAAGATGTGTTACGGATAGTTCGTTGGTGAACATTGTGTCTAAAAATTAGCTTTTCACGTAAATAAAATGGAGTTCCAGAGGTAAGTAACTTACGTATAAAGATTAGGTAGTTGTATTTTATAAAGTCCGACATCTTTAACCAATCTATTAAATGGTAACGATCCGAAACATGGTCAAGTTTTCTTAAACTGAATATGAAACGTATGCAGTTATTTTGTACAACGTCGTTCTTAGACGGAAATAATAAAATAATTTCTTCAACTTGATTTTTTGGCAATGAGGTAGTCTTACATCAAGCATGAAACGATAACATTCTCACGAAATTTTATTGACAATAAGAAAAAAATTAATAATGTGTTGGGCAACCCCGCAGCTGAATACAATCCTGTATACGTCTAGGCATCGACAAAATGAGATGATCGATGTCTGGTTGTGGCACTTCATTCCAGGCAACTCGAACTTCGATGATTAGCTGTGTCAGAGTCTGTGGCGGGGGTGCAAAATGGATAGTCTCCTCCCCATCATATCTCACACATGTTCTATGGAATTTAAATCCAGTGAATGGGGTGGGCACGGCAAAACATTAACGCCTGCTTCTTGAGGAGAGACCATAGTATGACGATCATTATGAGGTCTTGCGTTGTCTTGCTGAAA